GTACCACATTTTCTTCATCCAGTCCACTTTCAACAGGCATCTGGGTTGGTTCCATGTTTTGATATTGTGAGTACTGCTGCAACAAACATGTGTGCAGATATCTTTTTGGTGGAGCAATTTATGTTCCTGCAAGAATATTCCCAGAAGAGGGATTGCTGAATCATATGGAAGCTCAATTTTTGGTTCTTTTAGTTATCGCCACACTGCTTTCCATAGTGTTTGAACTAGTTTGCACTCCCACCAACAATGTCTTCCACATTTGTTTTTAGTTTTTGTTTTTGTTTTTTGTTTTTTGATTTTACTTATTAATGATATCCATCCTTATCAGTGTTAGGTGGTATTTCATTGTAGTGTTGATTTGCATCACTCTGGTGATTAGTGAGAATGAGCATTTTTTTCATGTTTGTTGGCTGCTTGTATGGCACCTTTGAGATGTCTGTTCATGTCTTTTGTCCACTTTTTCATGAGGTTATTTGTCTTTTTTTCTTTCAATTCATTTGCATTTCTTATAGATCTTGGATGTTAGGCCTTTGTCAGATACACAGTTGGCAAATATTTTTTCCCATTCCATGGGTTATCTCTTTACTCTCTTGATGGCTTTGTTTTTGTTTTTGTTTTCTTTGCTGTGCAAAAACTTTTCAGTTTGATAAGGTCCCACCTGCCAATCTTAGCTTTTGTTACATTTGCGTTCAAGGACATAGACATGAATTTGTTGCCTACTCCAATGTCCAGGAAGGTGTTCCCTACATTTTCTTCTGAGACTCTTGTAATTTGAGGTCTTACATTTAAGTCCTTGATCTATTTTTAGTTAATTTTGTATATGGTGATAGGTAGGGGTCCAGTTTCATTATGTGGCAAGCCAGTTTTCCTGGAACCATTTGCTAAATATGATTTCCTTTCCCCAATGTTTGTTATTGATGGCTTTGATGAAGGTGAGTTGGTTGAGGGACTATGGTTTTATTTTTGGATTCTTTGTCCTGTCACATGGATCTGTGTGTCTATTCCTATTCCAATACCATGCTGTCTTGGTTACTGCAGCCTTGTAATAAAGCTTATAGTCTGTAAGTGTGATATCTCCAGCTTTGTTCCTTTTGCTGAGGATCACTTTAGCTATTCATGCTCTTTTTGGTTCCATATGAATTTCTGAACTGTTTTCTCTAGGTCTATGAAAAATGATGTTGGCAATTTGATAGGGATTACATTGAATCTGTAGATTGCCTTGGATGGAATTGTTATTGATTCTTTCAATGAAATGAGCATTTTCCGTGCTAATCTTTTTAGTATATGGTCTGGGCTACACCCTTGGTTTCCTCTCTTGAACATGCTTTTTCACTCTTTAAGTGGCCAGGCTGAGGCCTTTCCACTCTGATTCCATTTGATTGTAAAATCTGTCTTTAAATTATTCCTTTTTCCCAAATCACAGCATAAGTGGCCAAAAGTAACCTCGCAGTTCCTTCTATTTTGCTTAAAATTTCTTTTATTACATATGCTAGTTCATCCATCTCAAATTCAGCCTTCCACAAAGCCCTCAGGCATAAACACACTTCAGCCAAGTTTTTTGTCAATTTGTAGTAAGAATGTCCTTTATTTTGGTTTCCAGTATCTTGTTTTTCAATTTCATCAGAATGGCTTTTACAATCCATATTTCTATCCACATTCTGGTCATGATCATTTAACCAATCTCTAAGGAGTTCCAAATATTCCCTAGTCTTCTTGTCTTCTAGGCCCTGACCAGAATCTAGTCTTTTCGAGCCTGCTCCTCCAGAGCCTGCTCTCTGCCCAGTATCTATTTCCAAAGCCGCTTCCACATTTTCAGGTATTTGTTATTAACAGCACATATGTTCCTGGAAAAAGTTACATGTGGTTAAGATCTTGCCTGCAAAGACTCCATGCTGGCAGATCTGTTGAGATATCCCACAAGGAAGTAAGTAAAAGAATATTGTTCCTTTAAAGTTGAAGACGAATTGCTTCTGAAAGACTGGTAGAACTATTCATTAAATAGAATGTATCAACCAATTATATAAACAACAAACTATGAAGACAAATTGCTTCTGAAAGACTGGTAGACCTATGCATTAAATAGAATGTATCAACCAATTATATAAACAGCAAACTATTTCTTTTCTTTCTTTTTTTTCTTTTTTGAATCAGAGTGTCACTCTGTTGTCCACGCTGGAATGCAATGGCACGATCACAGTTCACCGCAGCCTCGACCTCCTGGGCTCAGATGATCCTTCCACCTCAGCATCCCGAATAGCTGGAACTACAGGCATGCACCACCATGCCTGGCTAATCTTTGTATTTTTTTGTAGAGAAAAAGTCTTGCTATGTTGCCCAGGCTAGTCTCGAGCTCCTGGACTCAAGCAATCCTCCCGCCTCAGCCTCTCAAAGTGCTGAGATTACAGGCGTGAGCCACCACCTTGCCTGGCCTAGCAAACTGTTCTCCAGTTGATGATTGAATAGAGTCAGTGGTTTAATAATTTAGGTATAGAGAATTAATGCAGAATACCACAACATTCAGGTTGCGTTAATTCACTGTGAAGTGTCATTCACATATAAAATGTTTGAGCACTGTCCAAACTGGGAGAGAAAATAGAAATAATGACCAGGTCAGGCATATCTATCTATCCCCAGGGAGTCTTACTCCATTGTTCTAAACACCTCCATAATTTCTTGACTGTGGCAGATTCTCCCATGGGACCTTTATCTCAATAGTCTCTCTGGATCCTCTCTTCTCAACCATATGTTTACAGTTTGTTCTCAAAATTGTCAACAATTGAGAGTCATTAGTGCCTTTTGAACTTAGGTCCACAGGGCATCTTTAGCTTCTTCAGGAAATTGATCCCTATGTGCCTTCTCTAAAAAGAGCAGATAAAACCTGTGTCACTCTAGCTAACTAAGAGACTGCAAAGAATCCTATACCCTGCCTTCTAAGAATTTCAACATAATCTCTCTTAGAACTGAAATATTAAGGAATTGTCAGTTTATCAAAGTATTTTATTTTAATTCTATAACTGTTGGGGATGTTGTTTGTTTTTTTTTTTTTCATTACACATGTGAAAGGCTGTGTCTCTCAAGAACTAAGATCTGATTCTGACTTGGGTTATTAGAATGGAAGAAAATATGCTTCTTTCCTAGTTAAGCCCACAAACTTGGATACTTCTATTAAGAAAGAGTATAATGTGGATGAGAAGCCAATAGAAAACATGTTAAGCTTTTTACAATTCAGAGATTCATATGGCACATCTCATGTTTCATTTGCCTCTTAGGAGCAGCAACATAAATAGCCTACTATAGTCATTCAGACTGTTGAAGGTATCAGCATTATATGTTTTTAAAGTCTCTGATGTTACCATTCTATAAACGTGGATCATGAAATTAATCAACTGTGAAGATCAGGAAGAAAATGCGATACTCACCAAAGACCACAGGTTGGTATAAACAGAAAAGGGAGTACTGTAAGAGATCCAGGTCAATGTTTAACATCACCTAGTATCTCCAAAAGCTATATAGGAAAGCAGGGAGTTTGACAAGAATGATTATAATAACATGATTTTTCTAATCCATATATATGTGAATTAGAGGGGCCCCTATATATCATCTTTGCCTCTTAATCTGAAAATTGAAAGATGCACACAGAATACCACCACCAAATTTTCCTTCTTGAGAATTACCACTTTACCTACAAAAGACTCTTTTTGTCAGAAACTTTTCCTGGTTTCTGTATGTCAAGAGAACAGAAAAGTTTAGGTCATGATGAATTATTATCCTTAATTTTCATTGACTCTTTAAGATTGAGTAATATCCACTCTGTGGTGCTGTCAGTGTATATCTCAATATTTCTACTCTCCGGAGTGTACTGCAAATCAGTGCCTGGGAGGCTCTGAATGTAGTCGAGAAACTCTTTTTTTTATATTTTAAAGATGTGGGCTGCAATTCAGGGTTAGATATACAAATGTTTATTATGCAGGTACCCTTGTTGATAAGGTGTGCCCCTTCCACGGCAGTTTCCCACCCACTACTGCTAATCCTTTTCTTATAGTATTATAATTGTTCAGAGTCCACTTATGAGTGAGAACATGTGGTACTCCGTTCTTTGTTTCTGTGATTGATCACTCAGTATTATAGATGCTAAATGCATCCAAGTTTATAATTTTGTCCTTCTTTTTGGCTATGTAATATCCTTTCATGTATATGTATCACATTTTTAACCAGTCCTCTTTCAATGGGCAGCACGATTGGTTCCATGTTTTTGCTGTTGTGAATAATGCTGCAATACACATGCATGTGCAGATATCTTTTTCATAGAGTGATTTGACTTCCTCCAGGTATATTCTTAGAAGGGAGATTGCAGGGTCATATAGAAGATCATTTTAAATGCAATTAATATGACTTATTGATGGCTGAACCCTGTTTACAAAGGGTAAAAGACTCATAATATAAAACAAGATGATCTATATAGCATTGTCTGTGTAGGGAAATTCCTACTTGTTTCTGAAACCAGGATGTCAGAGATTTGGACAAAAATGGAGATGAGAATCTGCAGCAGCTATCTGGTGAAGCATCAAATAGTGCAGGGAAAAGAAAGAAAGAGACAGAAAAGCACAGGAAACAGAATCACATCGAGAGATTGCTACCAAGAACACAGAAGTAGGAGACAGTAACAGAGTCATGGGAAACTACTTTAAATGTGAAGATTTCATAAACATTTTGAGAAAAAAAAATGTGCTCCAAACATATTCTTCTGAAAAAATCCTAAGTAGTGATTCTATAATATATTTTCTTAAGTGACTATGAATAGGCCAACTTGAAAAATGAAAAAGACTTTAGGAATAAGTTAATTTACATAGACAATATGGAGCCAAAAGCAGTCCTGTGGGACAGTGGTTTGGGCCAAATGGATGATGAGTAATGTATGACCTGATTCTGTTGGTTGAAATAAGCATTATCTCTCCCACTCTGAGAAACTCTTCAGTTTTTATTATCTTCATTTTTTCCCTTTAGATCCCCTGAAGATCAACAATGAAAAACAGAACCATGCTTAGTGAATTTATTCTATTGGGCCTCACAAATCAACCTGAACTCCAAGTGGTGGTATTCACCTTTCTGCTCCTCACCTACATACTGAGTGTCCTAGGAAATCTGACTATCATCACCCTCACCTTAATAGACCCACAACTCCAGACCCCCATGTATTTCTTCCTCCGGAATTTTTCTTTCTTAGAAATTTCCTTCACATCCATTTTTATTCCCAGATTTCTAACCAGCATAACAACAGGAAATAAAGCCATCAGCTTTGCTGGCTGTTTTACCCAGTATTTTTTTGCCATATTTCTTGGGGCAACAGAGTTTTACCTCCTGGCTTCCATGTCCTATGATCGCTATGTGGCCATCTGCAAACCCTTGCATTACATGACCATTATGAGCGACAGAGTCTGCATACAACTTGTTTTCTGTTCCTGGCTGGGGGGATTCCTAGCTATCTTACCACCAATCATCCTGATGAGCCAGGTAGATTTTTGTGCCTCCAATGTTCTGAATCATTATTTCTGTGACTATGGGCCCCTCGTGGAGCTTGCTTGCTCGGACACAAGATTCTTGGAACTGATGGTCATCCTAGTAGCTGTTATGACTCTAGTGGTTACTCTGGTGCTGGTGACGCTTTCTTACATTTACATTGTCAGGACCATTCTGAGGCTCCCTTCTGCCCAGCAAAGGACAAAGGCTTTTTCCACTTGCTCCTCCCACATGATTGTCATCTCCCTTTCTTATGGCAGCTGCATGTTTATGTACGTTAATCCCTCTGCAAAAGGAGGTGCTTTCAACAAAGGAATATCTGTACTCATTACCTCAGTCACCCCCTTGTTGAATCCCTTCATCTATACTCTAAGAAATCAGCAAGTGAAGCAAGCTTTCAAGGACACTGTCAAAAAGATTGTGAAATTTTAAAAAAAAAACTTTACATTTCAATAAAACATATTTTTCACTTAATAAATATGCATTGGGTGTCTATATTTCAACTGCTGAACTGGCCCTTGACAATAAAAATATCAAAAGGATACATCCTAATTTCAATAAATCCAGAGTCTACAGCAAAAGAAAGATGTATAAACTTTAAATGTATACAATAAATTTACAAAAAAATAAAATAACATTGTAAGTGTTATCAGGGAAGAGTCGATTAGAATCCAAAAAAAAAAACCAGATGGAAAGAGTTAGTTCTGTTTTCTAGAAATGATATGAAACTTAAGAAGCAAAGCATATTGCTCATTTAGGAGAGTAGGAGGATAAGAATTTAGAGTGAAAAAGAAGGCCAGCTCAAAAAAGAATATAATTACAACTGTAAAGTTAGTTGGACATTCGTGAGTCAAAAGAAGTTTCCAGAAAGGGATATTATCAGCATTATTTTGAGGGAATGTAGTAGTTTTGTTATTGTACTTCAGCGTGGAGTCCTAGAAACAATGCTTCTGTCAGGGTGTCAATCATTTTGATTGTTCTCTCATTTTTCACTTATGTTTCAACTGTAGCCGTTACAATGTGCATCCTTTCACAAGAGCAACATAAGAGAAAGGTATATACATTAAGTCTACTTTTCTCCAAATGAGGAGTAATTTCTCAAGATATTATCAACTTGCAAGTCCATTTTCTAGAGGTTTCTAGAGGCATGATTAGAAGCCTCTCACTTCTTCTAGACAAAATCTATCATTTCCTTATTTAGCTGACATTTAAGTTAATGGTATGAGATCTGCTTTCTCTCTCTTTGGCAATTTCTGGGGGTTTTTTTTCCTTCATATTGTGATTTTACTTTCATCTCTTTGTTTACTTTCATTAGATATTACAAAAGATAAATTATGTAATCTGGCTCCATTTTTTTAATTCTTCTCCAAATTTTTGCTTTTGCTTTGAATATAAACCATGGATGACTGTTTTGTAAAGTTTAAAAGAATATGAAGTATCAGTCCAGTTTTATATCTAGAATGTTTCAAATTATGAGTCTTGAAAAACAACTGGGAATAGACTTTCCTACCAATAACTTGACACACAGATTCAGGGTAACAACAACTTGAATTTGATAAGGCCTCAACTTCAATGGAAGTAAGGACATATTTTAAATCTGATCACTTGTATGACATTTAATAATATGCTGAAACATCATAGGATGTTGGTTACTGTTTGGGGTACAAGTGAAACACAATCTAATGTGTTCACATGCCTTTTTTGATGTGTTTTTTTGAGCCATAGTCTCACTCTGTCGCCCATACTGGAGTGCAAACTCATGAATAGCCTCGACCTCCTGGGTTCAGGCAATCATCCAGCCTCAGTCTTCCAAGTAGCTAGAACTACAGGTGCACACCACCATGCCCGGTTAATTTTTTTATTTTAAATTTTTTTATTTCAAGGTGTGGGGTACAATTCAGGGCTAGGTATACAAGTGTTCACTATGCAAGTACTCTTTTTTTTTTTAATTGTACAGATGAGGTCTCACCAAGTTGCCCAGGCTAGTCTCCAATCCCTGGGCTTAGGCAATCCTTTCTCCCCCTCCTCCCAAAGTGCTGGGATTACAGGTATGAGCCTCCACACCCGGCTTCACATGCTTTATATTTGGTGATATGTTGGATAGAATGGTGCTTCTCAAGCATTTATGGAACAAGTTGGGTTATATGTATCATAAGAGCAAATTCTCAAAACCACAAAAAATATTGGAGTGTGCAAAATATTTTTGAATGGTCTTTTATGTTAAGTTATTGCTATTTTGAACTGATTTTCTTTTATTGCTAGCTAGTAATGACTTTCAATCTATTTCAATTTCACTGAGCTACCTTTCATTGACAGAAAAATGTTCTTAAGCAACCAAACCTGAATCATTGTTCACTTCCCCACATCCACATCTCTACCAAATTCTATGATGAAGTAAAAACAATGTCATATAATAGCTTAAAACACAGACTTTAGTTCAAATCTCAGGTTCTCAGCTTTCTAGCAGATTCATCTGGGAATAGTTACTTGACCTCCCTAAGGCTCATCTTTGTAAACTCTAAAATGTGTTTAGTAATACTGTCTATCTTACAGGTTAGTTTTAAGAATTTAATTAGAAACTAGATTTAAAATATTAAGAGAAAGCCGGTATTTGTTAAGTGTTTAATTAATCGTATCTATTCTTACCACATGATAATTTTGAACAATATTATTTTCAAGGAGCTGGAGCTTAATTGGAAAGATTAGGATTTGAATTGATTGGTTTACCATAACTGGGGCTGTAAAAATGTTGGCCATTCTACTTGAAGTCCATCTGTAGCTAAGCCAGCATATTTACACTCCCTATATGTCCAGTTGCATGCTTGGAAAGCCAGGCCAGTAAAAGGTCTTATCTACACTTCAGGTAAAATCATCAGAATACATGAGAGCAGGTTATTAAAACTGGGTGATTAAAACTCCCCCATGAATTACTTCCTGAACAAATGTCCACCTCTAGCTCTCCTTAATTTATTTTTTATTTATTCTTTTTTCCAAAATTCCAAGCTTATGCAATTTCAGCCTAGTTTGACTCAGCCTAGTTTGGAAAGGGTAGCCTAACTTCTTTTGCCACCCTTTCCTCTCCTTTCTGAAGAAGAATGAATCCCTAGGGAAAGAGATTTCTTTAAACAAACAAGCATTTACAATATGGCAGAGATAAATAGTTTCCAAGTGATGACTTTGATTTCTTCTCTATAAGCACATTTTAGAGAAACAAATGTATTATTGCCAAATGGTGTTTATAGTGATTCCTTCATTGAAAAAGAAAAATGGAAAATATTTGTGGGCAATAGTAGGTGCCAGGTACTGAACTATGTCCTTAACAAGTATAATTCTATTTAATGGGCATTGTGCTTCTCCTTTCACAGAAAAGGAAAATGAGACTCAGAGAGATAAAGTTTTGTGCATCATTCAAGACAGAGCTGATTATTGTGCTGCGTTTGGTTATACCACATTGCCTCTCTGAGCCTCACTATAGTTGTAAGAATTATGTGTATGGGGAAGGTGTTTGTAAGGCATTTGTGTAGTTGATATTTTGTGCCTAAATTTGACATTTTGTTTCCAAAGCTAACATTGTTTTTTCTGGTGCTTGTGCTCTATTGATAAATAGGTGATTGGCCTGATGTATTAGCTGTGGTAAAGATGTCCTTGGATAACAATGTGCTAGACCTTCTAGGTAATATATACTTATCTTAACAAGTTCTTCACTTCCTTAAACAGGAGATTTACTAATGTTTTCTCAGAAGTGACTCACAGGCAAATATGGGATACGGCCCCTACCTCAATTTGAGTATTTTACTTGTGTCTGTTTTGTATTTCATTTCTGCATGCAGACTCCAAAACAATGAAAACTGATGCTTACTATCTTCAGCCAATAGTCTATAAATGGAATAATTAAGATCAAGCTAGTGATGTTTAGAAATATGACTTTTCAAACCTCCACAGCCTGAAAGCCATTCCACCTATCTGCTTGTCCATGGCCAAGTCCAGCTATGACCACCTACTGAGAAAAGAAAATATAAAGACTCCATACTCTTCCTTTTCTCTACCGCTGGTGCTGTCCTGCAGCCTACCCGGCCACCAACAACCACCTCCAAGCTGATCTCTCTGAACCCTCTTCCCTCAGCTATAGTTTTAAGTTTGTTCCCAAAGTTGTCAACAAAGGACATTCATTAGCCTGTTCCAAATAAGAATCCCCAGGGCAACTGGTGCTTCTTCATCAATTGATCCCCCAGAGCATATTCTCAATATAGTAAATAAAACTTGTGTATGCTGGTGAAGCATAATCTGGTGTACGAGGGGGAGTCCATATTCTGCCTTCTGAGGTCATCAGCTCATTTCTCCTAGAACAGAAAGATCCAGGACCGCCCTGCTTCTCAAAGTCCTTCCTTTACCCTCCCACTTACTGGCTCTGCTTAAACAAGACAGGATGTCCAAAAACTCAGATTCAGCTCCGGTCCAGTTAGTTGAAATGCAAAGATCAGCAAATCCCTACTGAACGGATAAGGGACAAGAGCAGCAGAAGATTACTTCCTACCAAGAAAAGTTCGGAAGTGTGTGTATTTCTACAAAATGCAGAACAGGATTTAGTTGCAGAAAATGATAAAAAGGCCATAAATTTTACATTGCTTTGTAATTGTGTGGCCTTACAATTATGATTTCTCTCCAAAAATATTTAGGATTAAAATTTCACTGTAGTCACTTAGGTTCTCAAGAGAGAAAGTATGCTACATGTTTACAGCTTCATTGATTTTACGTCTGTGTAGTTGTGAATCCTGAAATGGACACAGATATGAAAACTCAGCCACTTCCTGAAAACTCCAGGTTGGTAATCAGGAGGGCAAGGGCATCCAGAACATTGTGGAACCTTGATTCCAACTGTGGGCTGGCAACCCACTAGGAGGTTATGAAGTCAATTTAGTGGGCTGAAACTGGCTTTCGAAAACAATTGTTTATTGCCTGAGCCCACGGGTTCGAGACCCACCTGGGCAACTTGTCGAGACCTCATCTCTACAATAAATAAAAAATGAACCGGGCGTGGTAGCACGCACCTGTAGTTCCAGCTACTTGGAAGGCTGAGGCGGAAGGATCGCTGGAGCCCAGCAGGTCGAGGCTGTGGTGGCCGGGAGCGGCCACTGCACTCCAGTCTGGGCGACAGAGTGAGACTCCAACTCAAAAAAAAAAAAAAAAGAAAACAATTTTTTTAATAATGAAGAAAGGTAGATCTATTAAGGGGAAGACAACATTGTGACAGGCACAATGGGCAGGACAGTGAGGATGTCTGCTCTCTGATGAAAACATTTTAAAATGGAATAAAATAAAATAGAAACTATCAGATAACATCATATGTAGTAAAGAATGTTCTGCAAAACTTTTAAGTGAGATAGATACGTGCTTGCTTGAAATATATATATAACACTTTGCATCAAGGTAGATGGATTTGGAGTCTATCATACTCGGTGATCTATCACAGAAACAAAAACACTGAGCACCACATGTTCTCACTCATAAGTGGACCC